GAGGAGGAGGGAGTATGAGAGGGAGGCGAAAGGGGGGGGAGCAGAGGGGGGGGGGGGGAGAGGAGGAGAAGGGGGAGAAGGAGGGCGGGGGGAGGAGGAGAAGGAGGAGGACGAGGGAAAGGCGGGGTGGGGAGGGCGACGAAAGAGATGCGGGAAGAGGAGGCGGAGGAGGAGAAGAGGACACGAGGAGGAGGAGGAGGAGGAGGAGGAGGAGGAGGAGGAGGAGGAGAAGAGGACACGAGGAGGAGGGGGAGGCGGCTTGCCCCCGTTTCCTCAAACAAACTTGGCTTGCCCCCCGCCCTTCCCCTGCTCCCTCCCCCCCCCCCCCCTTCGAGGCGGCCGAGGAGAGTGCAAGCCCGCCAGCGTCCGCCGCGGCCGCCGCGACTTCCGAGGACCCCACGGCCGCGCCGCCGGTGCCTCCCTTCTGCCGGGCTTTGGCCGCAAGGGCTCCAGGGGGGGGGGGGGGGCGGCCGACTTTCTCGGAGTCGAGGTTCGAGTTGTTCAGACCTTTGCATCGGCTTCCAGCGGTTGGGGGTGGGGGGGAGGGGGGGGGACTTTCTCGGAATCGAGGCTCGAGTTGTTCGGACCTCCGCGTCGACTCCCGGCGGTTCCCCAGCCTCTGGGGGCGTTCTGGCAGTTGCACCTCGCCGAGGGGCGTTCCCCGTGGTACCCGGATCATCCGAGACTCCCGCCAGAGATCCGAGCTCCGGCCCGAGAGCCACAGGCTTGGCATCGCTCGGACGTGTGCATTCTTCCTTCGGCGACGACCATCGAGGAGCATCCTTGATCATTCGGCGAAAAAACCACGCACGAAACCGAAAAAACACAGGAAATGGACGTCCGAGCGATGGCCAGCAGGGGGATAGGCTCGGGGGGGGGGGGGTGCGTCGACCGCCCATCGCCCAGTCATCGCCCACGGGGGCCCGACGTCCCCGCCCCGCCCTGGAGCGTGCGGCTTCGCTCTCGGGGTCGCCGATCTCTCGGCGACGCGTCACCGATGCCGACTCGGTGTCCATCGCCCGCCCCCCCAGAGAGCCGGTGCCCCCCGATCGTGGCCCATCACTCCCTCTTTGTCTCGGGTGGGAGGGGAGGGGCCAGGCCTCTTTTAGGGGAGGTCGGGGCAGATTGAGGGGATCGATGGTTCGCGCCGCACCGCCGATGCATCAGCGAGGCTGCGCGACGTGGAGCTCGATGTCCCCCCTTATTACCTCCTCC